CTGTATATTATGGAGAGAAGAAAAAGAAAAGAAACGATTTTCTTGAGCGAAGCAAAGATTGAACTGAATAGGATAAACCAAATTGAGCGATTGAATGCGAAAAAGAATAGCGACGAACCCTTCCTATTGTTATCTCTCTTTCGATTTCTGTAATTTCCTTAGTTGAAAAAAGACGCCTTTCACAATAATATGAGTTCCGTAAACAGACAAGCGACGAGAACAAGAAAGAACTGATCACAAACGTGAAAGAATGCAACGGATCGAAAATGAGAGAAAACACATTTAAATTAAAAAGCTTTTCTTGTGACAGAACACCTGCCTCGCTTGACAGACAAGAACGTGAAAAAATGACAAAAGAAATGTAAAAAACGACAAAGAAGATCAGTACAAATGGTGCCACATCAAATCATGAATAAAACAACGAAATAACAAAACAAATAATTAAAATGGATCAATAGTGATAAACAAGAAGAAGAGAATAAAACTAAATCAGAGTAGAGTGGTATTGACTAAAAAAAATGCTGCTTAGTCGAAGGAAGGTATATGGAGAGATAGAATGTAGTAAAATAGTTTTGAAAATGAGCAATGACAAAATCGACAGATATATAAAAAGGTTTAGTAAAGGAGTAATGGATTCTATGACGTGAGTAATCTATATGAATGTATTGTTATCGAGTTTTTGTAATGCAACAAGAAATAATTTAATGATAAACATATATGTGCCTATATATATATATATATTCCTGGAATGTTGGTTTTTGTTTTTATTTTATAATCTTGATTTATTTCGTAGATAGACAGATTTAATTGTATTTGAATTTACATGAAGATGATGAGCAGTGTACTCTCTAATCATAAACAAAATGGGATTAAACATCTGAATGATGCGATCTGGACAATAGTATCGAGCTGTCGACTCACATCTTCTATTCATTACTTTGAGCCACATACGTGCACCGACTTTATATTAACTATGTGTTCAATGAACTATTATAGCGAGTATTAGACAATTATTACTGCTTAACTGTACTGTCTTTTGCTTGTTTCAATACAATCTTCTTTTTTGTTATTGGTTACTTACATCCAATATTCATAAGTTTTCTTAAAAGTGAATGTATATCGTGTAGGTAACAAATGATTTTGGAGTTGTCTACTGATTGTGAGTTAATTGGGAGTGAAACTAAATGGTGTTTCATAAGTTATTCATCCTAAAGAAATTGAACTCAATTTACATCAACTCCAAGAAAAGACTAGATTAGTAAAAATATGGAAAAAAATTTTTGTCAAAATTATTTGTTCGACGTAATTGAATGTTATAGAATTTCACTTTTTTATCTTTGATGAGCCGTTTCTTCATAAAGAAAAAAGCAAAAGTTTTGAAGTTTCCAGTGCAAATGTAATCCAGTTAGATCTAATATTCATAAAAATTCCAGGCTCTTTGCTTTTTTCTTGTAGAAGATACAGCTTACCAAAGATGGAAAAATGAAATTCTGTAACATCCGATCACGTGAAAAAAAAATAACTTTGATAAAACTTTTTTGATATTTTTACCAATCGATTATTGTTTTTTTGAGTTGATTGGAATTGAGCACAATTTCTCTTGAATGATAACTTATGTGGTACTCTTCAAATACGGTCGCGATATAAAACTAAAAACTAAAAATGAGATTGAAACTTACGAAACACACTTTATGCGACATAGTTATTATGATCATCATTACAATATTTGGTTAACAGCCAGGTAAAGGTTGAGTTTCAGTATTTGGTCGACTCGTTCGTTTCCGGATGACATAAAGTAGAGAGAACGTGTTGTTTGCATCATGAACAAGAATACCTTCCTCTAGTAAAATACATACTGTATCCTGTGTAATATAAGCAGCTAATGCTTTAGAAATAATATAACTCTATATTCGATCACTAGTGATTAGAACAAATCTATTATCATTGGAAGCAAATACTCATGGTCTCCATCCATCCATACTTGAAACTTCACAAACATCATCGGGTGACTCGTACAAGGAATGGATATTTATCGATAACTCTATTTTTCGTCTTTTTCTTCATTGGCAAATTTATTCATGTAATATTAATTTATCTACACCTTGCTTATCTTCATCATGTTTATAATATTGAATTCCATCGTGGAAATCTATTCAACTCAGAATTTCTTTAAAATATTTCATATAATATGATTATTTCTAATCCTCTCTATATTTATAAACAACAAATATCTTAGTGTGATAGAGAAATCTTTTATGAATCATCTAATGCTTTATTTGTTGATTCACCATTAAAATTCTATTCTCAAATAATTTATCGTGCAATTACAGGATGGCTTAAAAATAAAGGTTATGATGTTTTTTGAATGCTTTTTATTTAATGTCAACTAAATTAAACAATTATTCAATCAACAACAAGATTATTTTGAAGATATTCAGATTATATTTAGTATAAACCAATTACCACGAATTATTTCAGCAAAGAAAAAAAAAAGTTTTTTAATAAGAAGAATTATTTAATTTGAATAATAAAGTGAAAGAGCACAAGTCATTGTTATAAATGAAATAAAGAAATAAATATTAAAACTAATATGAAAAATAAATAATGAAAGAAGTGATGTTACAATTAAAGAAAATGAAATAACAAATAAACGAATAATATTTGATGAATGTTTTATTACAACAGACATAAATAAACCATTTAATGCTTGTGTTATTACAATTAGCCATGTATAAAATGAAAAACCATGAAAAAGACTAAAGAAATGAAGAGTTTGAGATTTAATCATTGATGAAAAAATAGCTGGAAATAAATTAAGAATAGTTCCATATGAATAAAGAAAGACATTTTGAAGATGAAGAGATTCAGAATAATGTTTTTTTAAAATCCATTCATTATAAACACCAGCAAAACCACT